GGGCTGTGGGGGCGGTCAGTGCCCATGGGGCTCAAGTGTCTGGTGGGGGGTGTCAGTGTCTGTGGGGCTGTGGGGGCGGTCAGTGCCCATGGGGGCTCAGGTGTCTGGTGGGGGGGTGTCAGTGCCTGTGGGGGCTGGAGGCGGGGAAGACATGGGCATCTGGCTTGTAAGGTCGGCAGGCACTTGGGGGGAGGATGGATTTGGGTGCCTGGCCTGGTGGGGGTGAGTGCTGGGACTGGAGGGGGGACCCGGCCTCCAGCCTGGGGGCAGTCCCTGCAGGGGCTGGGAGATCTATGAGCGCAGCTGCAAGGATGGGGCTGGGGCGTCTGGCTGGGGAAGTCCCTTTGGCTCCCCCCCTGCAGGGGGACCCTCCCCCACTCCCTGAGGGCACCCCAGCCGCAGGGCCCCTCCTCCCCTGGCCTGCTGTGCGGAGCCAGGGCAGCAATGGGGCCCTGTCCTGGGGAGGAAGTGGGAAGGACTTGCCATGGGGGGGCAGCTGGTGCTGCCCCCCACCCCTCTGCCCACCTTGCCCGCTCCCTAAGGCGTGGGACACTGGGCGCTTCTCCGAGACAGCGTCCCCTGCGGCAGGGGACCCACCCTCACAGAGCCCCCCGCCAGGCCTGCGGACCTGGCCGCCAGGCCCTGATCCTCAGCCCCCCATGGGCCTGGCCCCTGCTCTTTGTGAAGGCTCCTCACTGGCATCAGTGGAGACCTGCCATGGAGCTGGGTGGGGGCCACGGCGCCCTGATTTCACACCAGTCCCAGTCTCTGGCTGCCATTGGAACGGGAATCCAGCCCTCAGCCCAGTGCCTTTCACCCCCCCTCTGCTGAGACGCTGGCTGCTCCGGGGCAGGGGAGATAGGCAGCGCCTGGGGGCGGGCGTGAGCTAGGCCCCTGGCTCTCAGAGCCGGCAGCTATGGGCTGGCCGTGGGCCTGTGCGAGGCAGCGGCTGGACACACAGCAATGATCGCAACCGTTCCTTCTGGCCATAGAATCGAGGACGTGCCAGGGCCTGGCCTGCACAGCCCCTCCCAGGCCTCCAGCACCCCAGGGAAACACCCCACACCAGGAGATCCCCACCTGCAGAAGCAGAATGTCCTGGGGAGGTGGGGGCTGGCGGCACCACGCCCAGCCCCCAGCAGCGGGCTGCCACCACCAGGCCTCATGCAGGGAGAGCATCCAAGAATGACAAGGAAAGTCCTCAGCTATCAGATGCCACCTTCCCGCAGCCCACCCAGCTCCTCCCACCCCACAGCCAGCGAAGAGTGCGTCAGACCCAGCTACCGGGCCCCTGCCCACTGCGCTGCTCCCATCAGAGCTTCCAGGGCCAGCCTGGAGCTGACAGAGCACAGGCCCCATTCTGCACCAGCCCCCCTGGGCAGCTGGCTGGGGCTCAAGCCCGACACGCACACCAGGAAGTCCCATCAAGGGCAGACACCAGCTGCCTGGGGCTGAGCCCACACAGGCCTGCGCTGGGACCGGGGGCTGGATCCTATCCACCTGGAACAGAAAGGTGGCATGGGGCGGGTTGCACTTGCAGAGCTTGTTGGGCCTTGAGACCACTGCCTTAGACCTGTCCCCCAATGGCCCCCAACTGGTCCCCACCCCACCCCCTGCACTTCCCAACCCCCCCATCCTCCCTTCCTCTGCCAGGCTGCCTGCTTTCCTTACCCACCCCCCCCCATCGCATAGGCAGGTGCTGCACCTGGCGCAGGGCACGCCATGCTGCCCCCATCAGCACTTGGCGCCTAGGGGAGAGTGACCGGAGAAGCAGCCGGCTAGATGGGAAGGGGGAAGATTAACAGTTGCAAACAAGCCTCCTTTGTGCTTTCTCCACTGCTGCCCCCCAGGCTTGGGAGGAGCTTCTGGTAACAGCCACAAACCTACCTCAGTCCCCCTCCACAGCCCTCCTGGCGCCATGGTGCCAAACCTTGACAAGGGTGGGGCTCTGGGGGTGTGAGCCCACCGCCTGGCTCAGTGTGTGCCTGGCCAGCTCCTGCGGGCAGCTTGTTTTACACACAAACGGCAAGCTCTGGCCCGGTTGTACAGCACCTGGCAAGGGGGCCCTGGGGCTCCCAGCTACAGTAAACGCTGGATCGGGGAAAGCAGCCCAGGGGGAACATCTGCAGAGGTGAGGCAGGACACAGGCGAACGGGAGGACATGGTGCAATTGAACATTCAGGCTGAATCTCAGAAGGCTCCTGAGTACGTGCTGGGGAAGGGGCTGTGCGGGGGGGTTAGCGAGCGCAGAAGGGACACTGGTGCCTGTGGAGAGATGGCCATAGAGGAGCAAGCCATGCCTGGTGGGAGAGCTGGGAACCCGCCGAGCAGCAGGAAGGCTGATTTTAACAGCCAGCACCGTTGCGGTATGGCCCCTGCTGCCAGCGAAGCCAGCTCCGCCTGCCGCCCCTTGCAGAAGCTCCCTCGCCCAGCCCCCTGGACGGGGT